GAACAAAACTTTCGATGTTGCCTGGAATGTTCGCGATTTTTGAATGTTACACAAGAAAATTCGGATTCTCAGCAGTGTATCGCAAATGAAATTAACTTTCTGCACTGATGCGGCGCAAACATTGCACAAATGCTTTGGTTCAGGAGAAAAGGGTAAGATAGCTTTATTCTTCCAAATCTATCAGCTTTTAGTTTATGGTTTGCTGCATTTTTCTTAGGCTGTTGAAAGTTCTTCTAAACCGCCTAATTTTAACTATCAGAGGAATATCTAATGGTCAAAATTAGGCGGTTATCTAGCCCTTTTTTTATTTATTGCTGTTTCAACGTTTTAGGGAACTGCAAATATGCAATTATACACATCTTCCCAGTTCACGCCGCAAAACGGAGCTTTGTGTGGGCTCGTCACTCTCTTCTATTGGTGACATTAAGCGAAATTTTGTTGTCAAGAAAGGCATTTGCTACGACAGGCCTCCTTTAGTCAGCTCATGTCTCATAAGTAATACAATCTGAAGCACTATTTGCACATCTTTAGAGAGTGTGCAAAATCTCAGCTCCTCTCCAACACATTTATGTTTACTACAGTCTCATAGCGCATTATTTCATAAAGTTCATGTAGAACACTTCCATGCATCTCTATAAAACAGCTGCCTTTACCTGTATTTAGCATACTCAAGGGATTATCGCTATGCGCGATAATCCCTTGAGTATGTTAAATACAGGTAAAGGCGACGCGAAGACGTACGGCGAGATTTTACTGCATGACTATCACAAAAATCCAAACGAATTTTAGCTCTGAAATTTTGGAAGCACAGACCTTTTTACCCTTGTAAACACTTCGGGTTTTTTTCTAAATTTCGAAATTTAGAAGGCGGTTTACTTGATTACTCTTACGTTTCTTCATTCAATATAACTCTTAGTTCTGTTACAACAGACGGTAGACTCTAATCAATGCTGCAAGAGAAAAGAGGTTTTCTGGCTTTGTAAATGTTCTGAGTAATTGTAAAGCTGTTCCCTAAGACATGTATTTGACAACAGTAACGCGTATATAAAGGCATATTAGCAGTAGTTATAGAGACAAACTGGCCGCTTGGGCAATGGCCGGGCATATCGAATCCTTTAAGCCTGTGGATTTACAGCACAACTTACTTTGAATAAAAGAGCTATTGAAGTAAATTTATTTATGGAAGGTACCTTTCAGGGATAAAGTCGCTGAAGGACAAGCTGAACTACTCGTTTGTCATGATATGAAAGGGGGCTACCTTGACGAAGAGAGGTACCTTTGGAGAAATCATTATTTCGTGATTACCTTACACCAAAGCTGCTATAACGTTCCCTTTTCATTGCAATTTTTTCAGCATTCTACTTTCTCGTTTAGAATGTGTGAATAATGTCTCTAATTGACATAGATCAGTAAATAATTTTAGCGACGAAGGTATCATTGTCACTCCGGAATCTCCAAATCCCTATGTTTTCTTGAATTGGTGGAATATAGATGTTTTCTGCTACTTTTCACACAACTTTGTCACTATTCCTCCCACTGGCTACACAAATATAGCACATGATCATGGTCAGTCTAGCACATTTTTGTCACAATTGATCTTTGATAGCAAGACTGCTTAGGATGCCTCGTTCTTGGTACGTTCATCACAGAGGGAAAGGGTGGAGCTAAACTGTGTGAACAGTTCCTTACCTCGGAGGAAACAGTACGAAAAACTGTACAATCATTAGTATGTGTTACACAGCGCTACAATTTTGATGGATGGCTGGTCAACATAGAGAATAAAGTGCTGGTGGGTAGCATCAAGGTGTCCAAGGCAGTTTTTCAAAATTTGTTCTATGAAAGCTAGGGCGTGGTATATTCTCAGTTGTCTACCATCGAACAGAAGACTTTGACGTCAACCATGTTTTAAAGGTCCCGTTCTAGAAATTCAGTTCCCTCATAAAGCTGTAAATCACGCATTAGGAAAAAATACGTCCTCAAGCATTATTTGCTCAAGCTGGAGCCGTGCTGAACGTAGAGTCACGGATTTCGCTGGATGAAAGGAGTCCACTCTTTGCCAATCATGGCTAATGACTATAAATACCAATGATCATATATAGTTAAAAAATAATATATGTTCACGAAAGAAAATCATTTGAAAATAGTAAGTTTCAAAACCTATTGGACAACCTAACACAAATAGTTGGTTATCTGCTGAAGCATGATGGCAAGAATGCTTACTGGGACTTGATACAGATTCAGCAGTTAAACAACTTGAAGTTGTTTTTACGTCTATTGACCGACACTATGCGGAAGTCAGTGGGATTTTCACGTGTTATATGGTATGATGCTGTAACTGCTTCGGGTAAGCTTCATTGGCAGAACAAGCTCAATGAGTTGAATAAGTAAGTCAAAAGTGTAAATATCCACCTAGCCACATCATTGTCGATGGTTTCAGAGTCTGGTATGATTGTTGTGATGGCATATATTTGAATTATAATTGGAATGATGAAGCGTTGTTGAGCAGTGCTGATTTTGGAACACTCAATAAGATTTATGTTGGAATCGATGTTTTTGCACGAGGCTGCATTGGTCGGTGATAACTTATGATAATAATCAGTTTTAATTTCCGTTACCCACGAGCATGATTCTGTTCAAGCAATATACCAGTTGTTATTAAGAAAATATTTGTCACTTTTCCACTTTGCATTATGACCAGCATTTCCGTTGCGTTATCATGGCTATAGTTTGCAAGTGAGCGGGGCGTGTCAAGGCGACCAATGGCTTGGATCACCTGTGAAAATTGGTTCAATTTAATGAAGAATGAATGTCCGAGGAGAGATGAGACTAACTCAAAT